CAGCAGAGAGTTTGCATAAATGGGGAGAAACCAGATTGTGGGGGGGGGGGAAGTCACAAGTGGTGTTTCACAGGGGTCAGTGTTGGGCCCCTTGTTCACAGTCTACATAAACGACATAGATGAGAGAATAAATAGTGACAAAAGCAAGTTTGCTGATGACGCCAAAATAGGCCGTTGAATTCATTCAGGAAGAATTGAATAAACTGATGCAGTGGTCGGAGAAGTGGCAGATGCAGTTTAGTTTAGACAAATGCAAAGTTCTAAACATTGGACAGGAAAATAACCATGCCAGTTATAAGCTAAATAATGTAGATCGTTATATTACTGATTGTGAAAAGGATTTGGGAGTTATGGTTAGCAGTAATATAAAACCAAGACAACAGTGCATAAGTGTTCGCAATAAAGTGAACAGAATCCTTGGCTTCATATCAAGAAGCATAAATAATAGGAGTCCTCAGGTTGTTCTTCAGTTCTATATATCTTTGTTTAGGCCTCATTTAGATTATGCTGCACAGTTTTCGTCACCATATTACAGAATGGATATAAATGTGCTGGAAAACATACAAAGGAGGGTGACAAAGTTGATCCCATGTATCAGAAATCTTCCCTACGAGGATAGACTGAGGGCCCCTAATCTGCATGCTCAAGAGAGGCGTAGAATTAGTGGGGGATATAATTGAGGTGTATAAATGGAAAACAGGAATAAATAAAGGGAATGTAAATAACGTGCTAAAAATATCTAGCCAAGACAAGACTTGCAGCTATGGTTTTAAGTTGGAAAAATTCAGATTCAGGAAGTATATAGGAAAGCACTAGTTTTGTAATAGAGTTGTGGATGCGTGGAACAAACTCCCATGTACAATGGACCCTCGGTTTTTGTGTTTAATCCGTTCCAGAGCGATTGGCGAAAATGGAAACCATTTTCCCCATAAGAAATATAATGTAAATCCAATTAATCCATTCCGGACACCCAGAAGTATTAAAATTTTTTTTTTTTTTTTACCTTAGTGTTACATGCACAAAAGCATGAACATTCAACATGACACTTACCCTTATTGATGACTGTTGTTGGTGGATGGAAGACAGGGAGGAGGGGAGAGGGAAGAGGTTATTCTTTGGAAGGGGAATCCCCCTCCATAATGACTCTAGGTACCAAGTCCATATCTGGGGTCACTTCCCTCCTCTGTTTTTTAATGCCACCAGGATCACCTTGAGAGTCACTGGACCCCTGTCGCACAAAATATCTGTCCAGATAGGTCTGTTTCTGGCGTCTCTAAGATTTGCCCAAAATGGGACATGGCATTGTCTTTGTAAAAGTCACCAGCACGGATTGCAACAGCTTTCTCAGAGTGATGTTCCTCCACAAATGAATGCACTTTAGTCCACATTGCACAAATCTCCTTAATCTTTGAAGAAGGCACCTCCTTCCATCTCTCTTCCTCCTCTGAAGCAATTTCCTGAGCTGTGGTCTGTTGCTGTTGAAGATGAAGCTCTTGCAGCTCATTAGTGGTTAGCTCTTGATTGTGGTCCTCCACCAACTCTTCAATATCCTTGCCACTCACATCCAACCCCATGGAATTCCGCAGTGCCACAGTTGATTGCACAACTGGTGTAGGGTCGACAGGGTCAGCCTCAAACCTTCAAAATTCTTTTTTTGGACACAATCTGGCCACAGTTTTCCCCAAGCAGAGTTCATCGTCCTGGAAGCCACTCCCTGCCAAGCCTTATCTATAAGGTTTATGCAGTGGAAGGTATTGAAGTGATTCTTCCAGAACTCTGAGGGTCAGTTCAGGGTCTGAGGTTATATCAAAGCACCTTTGAAACATTGCTTTGGTGTACAGTTTTTTGAAGTTTGCAATGATCTGCTGGTCCATGGGCTGGATGAGAGGAGTGGTGTTAGGAGGCAAGAACTTCACTGTTACAAAACTGAATTCCTTAGACAATTGGTCTTCCAAGTCTGGAGGATGAGCAGGAGCATTGTCCATTAACAGGAAGCACTGGAATGGCAATTTATTTTCCAGGAGGTATTTCTTCACACTCGGGCCAAACACTTCATTGAACCATTCCAGGAAAATTTCCCTATTGGCCCATGACCTACTATTAGCCTTCCACATCACACTGTTTTTCTTGAATACTCTGGGATTTTCAGTGATACACAAGTAAAGGCTTCACATTGAAATCCTCATTAGCATTACCATACAAGAGAGTTAGCCTGTCTTTAATAGGCTTGTGTCCTGGGAGTGCCTTTTCCTCCTCTGTGATGTAGGTCCTCTTTGGCATTTTCTTCCAAAAAGGCCTGTTTTGTCACAATTGAACACTTATCAGGGTTGGAATATTTCAGCATCTACATAACCTTTGAATTCCCGCATGAATTTTTCAGCCGCTCGGTTGTCAGAACTGGCACCTCACTATGCCTTACAACACTGTGTATGCCACTTTGCTTCTTGAATTTTTCAAACCAGTCTTTGCTGGCCTTAAATTCACTAACATCACCACTTTTTTCAGACAGTTTCTTTACGAGATCGCCATGCAGCTGCCTTGCCTTTTTACAAATTATCGACTGCACAGCACTATCTCCTGCTAACTCTTTCTCTCTGATTCACACCAACAATTATTTCTCCACTTCTTCAATTGTATGGTTATCACACTCACCTCTTTTGTAACATCAGCTTCCATGATTTCTTTTCTCCTTGCCACAATGGAGCTGATCGTTGATGGCGCCTTCCTGTACATCCTGCCGAGTTCAGCAATGTGTATGCTGCTATCATATTTTTGAACGATTTCTTTTTTCATTTTGTATGGTGTTCCTCATTTTCTTTACCAAAGGACTGGCACTATGAGCTTTCTTTGGGGCCATGGTGGCTTATTTAGCAGTCACACACAATAAACAAGTGCCAAAAACAATGGATTATTACAAAATGTTTTGTATGACCTGGCAGGATATGTTCACTCACCGAGAAAGAATGCGACACTGCCTGAGAATGCGTGTAGGAGGCGGCTTTGTCTGCGCTCTGGGCACTGGACAGGTTCCGTACCATTGACGAAAACGGAACCAAAATATTGACGAAAAAGTCGATGAAAACGGAAATCGGCATTAACAGAGATTGACGAAAAGGGAGGGTCCACTATACCTTCATAGAAGCTAAGACGTGTAGTTTTAAAAATAGGTTAGATAAATACATGAGTGGGTGTGGGTGGGTGCGAGTTGGACCTGTTTTGCATAGGCCAGTAGGCCTGTTGCAGTGTTCCTTCTTATGTTCTTATGATTGTTGACTTTAATGTTGATGAGATCACTGGTATTTGATTACAGTACCTGAAAAAGTTCCTAATGGAGTATCTTCCTGAATATAAAATAAGATGCTTCTAACAGATATGAAACATGAATTATTGTGTTTTCTTATGGACATAATATACTCTATTTTATTTACCTCAATAGAATTAGATTGCCCTGTCCTGTTCCGATAGTTGTTATTACTGTATTGGCAAATTATGGTTTACCCTATTTACTCCACTGATTGATTAAACTGTATGTCTCTAATGTAATCTTCCAGGGTCTAAGAGAAAATGGTTAAAAAGACACACAGCAAGAGGAGACATTTCTTAACCCTTTGACTGTCGCAACCTCAAATCCTGAGGTGTCTCCTGGTGTTGCAAAATATTTGAAAAAAAAAAAAAAAATTCTTATGAAATGATAGAGAATCTTTTCCTGATGGAAATGACACCAAAAGTATGAAATTTGATGGAAAACTACTGAATTACGCTCTCGCAAAGTTAGCGGCCTTGGCAGTATTTACGAATCGGTGATTTCGCCCACTTTGACCCCTATTTTCGGCTAATTCCATTGTTCCAGTCGACCAAACTCATGGCTATTTCTTTAGAACTCCATTTGTTATATTGATTGAGTACAAGAAACTGCCCATTTACCAATTTCAACTACCCAAAAAGTGGTCAGAAATTGGCAATTTGGCCAATTTCATGCCCAATTTCAAAATAGGGTCTGGAATGAATAATGCGGACATTCCTGGCTCTAAAATAACATTTTCTTTGTTCATCAGTCACGTCTCCAGGCCCCTCTGATGTAACCCTTGCTTTCTATTTTAAATTTTTATTCAAACAAAAAATAGAAGATTTACTGTTATGCAGACTACTGCAATATTGTAATAATTGTATAAATAATGTCAACCCATTCATGACTGCATATTAGAATGGCTAGTTGGACATTTATTGGACAATGACATCATTTGTTTACTCTTGAATATCAGCAAAAATCAAACATTTCCCCTAATTTGAGCTCCATTTCAAGGCCCTTTTCATGTAAAACCAATCAAAATCACCTCCATTTCTATAATATGTTTTCCATTCTATCAAATGTGACTATGAAAATGAGAATATAACCATAAAAACCATACGAAAATACACCTCAAAGTCGGCGTTTTAATCCAAAAACACGGTCGAAGTTTTCTTTTCTCATTATGCACTGCTTGCTTCAGGATTTTTTTTATACTGCACACACTGACCACCCTTCCCCATTCTCTCACATGTGGACCTACCAGCGTTCTCCCGCTTGATTTGAAGCTGCTAGAATTTTTGAGTATACGTCAAACACATTTGCTCGTAAGACATATATATACGACCGAAACAGTCATTAAGCCTTATATAAGTGTAGCTTCATATTAATAAACTCCTTTTGCTTTATGAGCTTTTAACTTCCAGTTGGCTATGCCATATTTTAACTCCAACAGAAAATATTTCACACCCATTGAATAGTGAAATAAAATAAGAGGGTAAACCTGTTTTGAGATTTCACTTTATAAATTAGAATAATGTAGCTGTGTTATGCCCGAAATTTTATACAGTATAAAATTTTATATGGATTGTAGATTAACAAAACACAGCACCACATCACTGATAAAACATGATTAGGGTCTGATATTACGGTATAAATACATGTATGCCATTACCATATATACTTACTGTTCTAACAATTTTTGTTCTGGTAGGTACCAGTTCGTTTAAAGCTGAGTGACCAGGGCATAAGTTACCGCAATGTGAAGACTGGCAAGGTAGAAAATTTGAACTCCTCAGAAATTGAGGTGGTTAATTGGCAAAGACTTGGTGGAAGCTATGGATTACGAATTTTCACTGAAAGTGGCAACCTGTTTCGGTTCGGAGGCTTCAAAGATTCTGTAAGTATGGTATTATGCTATATATTTGATACGTGTATTTTGTGAAAGCAAGAAGTTTCATAGCACAAGTGACATTTGAAGCTCAGTGACTGTTGTATGCTGTAATGGAGATTGAGTTACTTGAATTTTGGCTGAAATGCTCTTGATCCCTTTCCTTTTATCAAATTTGATTGCTTCCACTTCCCCAAGGTGCTTTATAACCACTATGGGTTTAATACCCCCCCTCCCCCAACGAAATAAATAAATAAATGTAAAATATTACTATGTACATTATTCCTACTGTGTTCCATACTTTTATAAATTTTTTTACTAATACAGTATATGTTTGATTAGACTTGTACAGTGGTACCTTTACTTACGAGTTTAGTCTGTTCTGTGACCTTGCTCGCATCTGGATTTGCTCATTTGCAGAGTCAATTTTACTCATTTAAATTAACTAAAATGGAATTAATCCATTCCAGTAGAATTCCAGGCATGACAAAATACTTCAATAATTTCCCTAATATCAACTCTTTGACTTATTTGTCTATCACAATTCATCTAATATGACATAATAAACAATATTAATAACATAGAAACATGATATATACACTAGGATGAATAAAATACATGTCATTATGTATGTGGCTAGTCGTGGTGACAGCGGCCATTGTTGTTGTTGGAGTTTATAGGGCCACCACAGCAGCCATTCCTGCTCCTGACTACATGTGTAGAGAACCTAGGATAACCCAAAAATGTCAGACATTGCTGTTTCATGTTGTCTGCCACTGCTGCTTCATGTTGTCTGCCACTGCTGCTTCATGTTGTCTACCACTGCTACCTCATGTTGTCGGCCACTGCTACCTCATGTTGTCGGCCACTGCTGCTTCGTGTTGTCTGCCACTGCTACCTCATGATGTCTTTTTCACTTTTGCTAGTGTATTGAAGAGCTTTCCAGTATGTGAAGGTTGCGGGGCAGTGGCAGTCAGACAAGTACCGGACTGTGACATCATTTGTGTACCCTTGAACATTGCCAAAGAATTGAACATTTCTGCTACTTTGAGCTCAGTTTCAAGGTACTTTTCATTGTGAAACCAATCAAAATCATATTTATTTCTGTAGTATATCTTCCATTCTATCAAATGAAACCAAAAAAACGAGAACACAACTATAAAAACCATACGGAAATATACCGCTAAGGGGAGGCTAATGGCTGAGAAGTGAACTCCGTTATTTATGGTCCGATTTCTTTCATTTTTGTGTACGTTAAGAAGCACTTTTCCATCACACATTGCCCAAGTTTCAATAAGATAGTCCAACAAACAACCGAGATCCAATTCCCTAGATCAAGAGCAAGGGCCCCTCACCAGTGTCAAGGAACCTCTCTTGAGGCTCGCTTGCATCTGGAAATTTCGCTCACATCTGGAAGCAAAAAATAGACCGAGTGACTGGTTGTAGCTGGAAAGACTCGCACGTGGATGAACTCGTAAGTAGAGGTTTCACTGTACGTTTAAAGAATGCTGCTAGTTTTGTATTCTAGTGTTAGGCAGCTAGGACATCATGCATAAATCAAGATTAAGGTATAGAATAATTTTTTCTTGTGATTTATCTGATATAAAAGCTGTTCTTATTTTGGAAATGATTAAGGATATCAAAAACAGTCAGTACACCCAAAAATAAGGAAAGAATTAAAAATATGGTGTAATGCAGTATTGTCAAATACATAAAATGTTAATAACAATAACTGTTGAAGAGTGTATACAGTATATACAGTACATTAATATTCAGAAATACTATGCTTCATTTTGTACCATTTGAAGTTTGCTGTAGAAAATGATTGATTAGTCTGATGTAACTATTTTTATTTAATTGGAAAAAATTAATATAATATTTACATATTAAAATGGTTTGTCATTTTCCTTAATGTATGTGTGTGTGTTTTCAGGAGCAGTCAAAGCTAGAGAAATTTTTCAAAAACACATATGGCAAGACTATGTCAGAAAAGGAGTTTTCTGTGAAAGGTTGGAACTATGGAGCAGCAAAGTTTGAGGGGGCTGTACTGTCTTTTGATGTAGGTTCCATGCCAGCTTTTGAAGTGCCTTTAAACCATGCATCTGGCTGTACCACAGGCAAGAATGAAGTCACATTAGAATTTCATCAGGTATGCCAAAAATCACATTGTGGGAAGTGTTTTGAGGTTGCCTTATAATAAACACATTGCCCTTAATTCTGTTTTCTTTTGTAGCTTCAGATTCTTAAATATTTCCCAGAATAATGCATTTTCTTATACTAATTGTTTGCTTGTTTTCTATTTCTTTAATTACTTAATCTCTAAATTAAAACATTACCTCACAATGCTTGGCATGTAAAGGTTGTTCAGGCCCATCTGCTTATTTGAATCTGAAGAGTCCTTGTTTCTTCAGCATGATGATGCAGCCATAAACTTGATGGAGATGAGGTTTCACATCCCAACATCAGAATTAGCTGGTGATGATCCAGTGGAAAGTTTTCAGCAGAGGGTTATGGCTAAAGCATCGGTTATTACAGCCACAGGAGATGCTCTTGCTATTTTCCGTGAAGTTCAGTGCCTTACACCACGGTATGGAAAAGCTTTGTGTTGCTACATATTTTGCTTTAATTATTTTGAGTTGTACTGTGAATTACTCAAGTAAAACATTTTGCTGAATTTACCCAGATTGTTTCTTCATTTCATTGTTGAAAGGAATATCTAATAGTATGTTTTAATTCAGAAAACAGTGCAAGAAATATTCTTTTTGAATTCAGTAATTTATACAGAAGGGGTTATTAACTCCCTTGCTCCTGGCATTTTAGTTACCTTTTACAACATGCATGGCTAACAGAGAGAGGAAGGATTCTTCCCCATTTTCCCATGGAGATGACAGGGAATAATATAAGAACAAGAACTATTAAGAAAATAGAAGAAAACTTGTATTTGTGTCATGGTCAAGGGCCAGGTTGCAGGGATGTTGACCCCTGGAATACCCTCCAGGTATACATGTACATACACGTGTAGTATGAAATAAGTGTATGTAGAAGTAGCAAGATCTGAGCTGTAGTGTTGGCATGCCTCTGGCAAGACAACGATAGAGTGAATGATGAGGAAAGTGTTTCTTCTTTTTTGGGATCACCCTACATTGGTGGGAGATGGATGGTGTGTTAAAAAAATATATAAGAAAAGTTGGTGAGTTCTTGTCATTAAAACAGTATCTAAAGCACTTTTGGAATTTAAGTAATGTTTGTTATTTGATGTACTTTACTATCTTGACTCTTGGAGGCATTGGAGATAGTCATATGTTAGATCAATATGTGATGTGAATAGTATGCTAAGAATTCAGTGTAGAAATTAAAAGAGGGTAGAGTGGAGGGAGGGTTGAAGAAATTTGAACATGGAGGGAGGGTTGAAGAAGTTTGAACATTAAGAGATGATGGTGCAAAATAAGATGACCAAGAGGTTATATAAAGCCAGTGTGAAAGGAGGGATATGAGATGCTCCAGAAAGGGTTGAAGGGAGGGTGTGAAAGCAGTTTCATGTGGTAAGGGCCTGAGCATCCAGCAGGTGTGTTTTTGGTAGTAAAGATCGAAAACCAAAGCCTTGTCATTGTGGTTGTGTACAAGCCTCCATATGCAACTTCCCAACATTTCTGGGAGCAGCTTGTGAAAATTGACCACTGTCCAGAAAATCTCCCAACTCCTGCCGCAAACATCTTGCTGCTAGGAGATTTCAACTTGAGACACCTAAAATGGAGGAGTCTAGCAAATAATATTTTAGCAGAGATCACTCCAGGAGGCAGCTCAGATGAAAATTCACATACACATGAGCTATTAAATCTCTACACCAAATTCACCTTAAACCAGCAAATAATAGAGCCTACAAGACTAGAAAATACGCTGGACCACATCTTCACTAACAACGATCTGATACGTAATATAACCGTATCAAAGACAACACACTTGGATCACAACATAATAGAGGTACAGACATGCATGCACAGGGCTCCTGACCACCAAAATTTGATCAGTCATGAGGGTGTCTTCACAAAATTCAATTTCAATAACAAAAACATACAATGGGAACAAGTCAGCCATGTCCTAAATGAAACAAGCTGGGAAGCTATCCTAAACAACACAGATCCAAACCTTTGCCTAGAAAAAATAAACTGTTGTTCTTGAAATCCGTTCAAGACACAATCCATTAAGAAGAAGAAAGAGAAGATGTAAACTAGAAAGAGAAAGACGCTCCCTATACAGATGAAGGCAAGGAATCACAGAGCTGCTGAGAGGGGCCAATATATCTGAAATACGAAAGGAGGCACTGGTTAATGAAATTGCAAATATCGAACTTAAGCTGAACGACTCTTACAGGAGACAAGAATTGCAGGAAGAACTAAAAGCCATAAATCTAAGGGAAAAACATCCAACATTGGACCCCTGCTCAGGCAAGATGGGACATACACAGATGACAGGCAAAAAAATGGGTGAGATACTAGTCCCGGTACGACTCGGTGTTCAGCGAGCTGCTGCCCAGACTAAGGGTCGACAATCCAAATGAATTCTTTATGAATGAGACCCAAAATTTGGTCATCTCAAAAATCTCAGATATTATCCTAACACCACAAGACTTTGAAAAGGCAACAAATGACATGCCCATGCACTCTGCCCCAGGCCCAGACTCAAGGAACTCCGTGTTCATCAAGAACTGCAAGAAGCCCCTGTCGCTTGCCTTCAGCATTCTGTGAAGAGGGAGGATGAACACGGGTCATCCCACACTCGCTAAAAACAACAGACATACCCCCCTCTACATAAGTGGGAGGAAAGCAATTGCAAAGAACTACAGACTGATAGCATTAACATCCAATGTACATGTTTATAGAGGGGCAGCTGATATGTCGGTTCATTATTTAGTTGTAGCTACAGTTAGAGTAAGAGGTAGATGGGATGAGAGGAAGGTGACAACAACAAGTAGGAGGGAAGTGAAAGTGTATAAACTAAGGGAGGAGGAAGTTCAGGTGAGATATAAGCGACTATTGGCAGAAAGGTGGGCTAGTGCAAAGATGAGTAGTGAAGGGGGTTGAAGAGGGTTGGATGAGTTTTAAAATTGCAGTATTAGAATGTGGGGTAGAGTTTTGTGGTTATAGGAGGGTGGGGGCAGGAGGAAAGAGGAGTGATTGGTGAATGATGAAGTAAAGGGTGTGATATAAAGAGAAAAAGTTAGCTTATGAGAGGTTTTTACAAAGCAAAAGTGTTATAAGAAGAGTCAGAGTATATAGAGAGTAGAAGAAAGGTGAAGAGAGTGGTGAGAGAGTGCAAAAGGAGAGCGATGATAGGTGGGAGAGGTACTGCCGAGAAATTTTATGAAATAAGAAAAAATTTTGGAGCGAGTTAAACAGTTTAAGAAAGCCTAGGGAACGTATGATTTGTCAGTTAAAAACAGAGTAGGGGAATTAGTAGATGGGGAGAGGGAGGTATTAGGTAGATGGCGAGAATATTTTGAGGAACTTTTAAATGTTGAGGAAGAAAGGGAGGCGGTATTTATGCACTGGCCAGGGAGGTATACCATCTTTAGGAGTGAAGAAGAGTAGAATGTAAGTGTGGGGGAGGTACGTGAGGCATTACGTAGAATGAAAGGGGGTAAAGCAGCTGGAAGTGATGGGATCATGATAGAAATGTTAAAAGCAGGGGGGGATATAGTGTTGGAGTGGTTGGTACTTTTGTTTAATAAATGTATGAAAGAGGGGAAGGTACCTAGGGATTGGCAGAGAGCATGTATAGTCCCTTTATATAAAGGGAAGGGGAGCAAAGAGATTGTAAAATTATAGAGGAATAAGTTTATTGAGTATACCAGGAAAAGCGTACAGAATGGTTATTATTGAAAGAATTAGAGGTAAGACAGAATGTAGGATTGCGGATGAGCATGGAGGTTTCAGAGTGGGTAGGGGATGTGTAGATCAAGTGTTTACATTGAAGCATATATATGAACAGTATTTAGATAAAGGTAGGGAAGTTTTCATTGCATTTATGGATTTAGAAAAGGCATATGATAGAGTGGATAGAGGAGCAATGTGGCAGATGTTTCAAGTACAGTGGACCCCCGGTTAACGATTTTAATCCGTGCAAGAGGGGTAATTGTTATGCGAAATAATCGTTATGTGAATGAATTTTCCCCATAAGAAATAATGGAAATAAAATTAATCCGTGCAAGACACCCAAAAGTATGAAAAAAAATTTTTTTTACCACATGAAATATTAATTTTAATACACACAAACTGAAAAAGGCATGCACACTTACATGACACTTACTTTTATTGAAGATCTGGTGATGATTGATGGGATGGGAGGAGGGGAGAGCATTATCTTCTTACTGTTTAGAAGGGGAATCCCCTTCCATTAGGACTTGAGGTAGCAAGTCCTTTTCTGGGGTTACTTCCCTTCTTCTTTTAATGCCACTAGGGCCAGCTTCAGAGTCACTGGACTTCTTTCGCACAAGATATCTGTCCATAGTGGCCTGTACCTCTCGTTCCTTTATCACTTCCCTAAAGTGTTTCACAACATTGTCAGTGTACAGGTTGCCAACACGGCTTGCAATAGCTGTGTGAGGGTGATTTTCATCCATGAAGGTTTGCACTTCAAGCCACTTTGCACAGATTTCCTTTATCTTTGTAGTAGGCAACTTCTTCAATTTCTCTCTCCCCTCCTCTGAACCAGTTTCCCCAGGTCTGGCCTCTTGCTCTTGAAGTTAATCTAGCAGCTCATCAGTGGTTAGTTCTTCATTGTCCCTCCACCAACTCTTCCACATCCTCCCCACTAACTCCAACCCCAAGGACTTTCCCAATGCCACAATGGATTCCTCAACTGGCATAATCCTCTCAGGGTTAGCCTCAAACCCTTCAAAATCCCTTTTGTCTACACAATTCTGCCACAGTTTCTTCCAAGCAGAGTTCAGGTCCTCTTAGTCACTTCCTCCCAAGCCTTACCTATAAGGTTTACACAATTGAGGATATTAAAGTGATCTCTCCAAAACTCTCTTAGAGTCAGTTGAGTTTCTGAGGTCATTACAAAGCACCTTTCAAACAGAGCTTTTGTGTACAGTTTCTTGAAGTTTGCAATAACCTGCTGGTCCATGGGCTGCAGGAGAGGAGTGGTATTAGGAGGCAAAAACTTCACCTTAATGAAGCTCATGTCCCCATAAAGTCGCTCTGCCACGTCTGTAGGATGACCAGGGGCATTGTCTAACACGAGGAGGCACTTAAGTTCTAATTCTTTTCAGTTAGGTAATCTTTCACATTGGGGGCAAATGCATGGTGTAACAGTTATAGAAAAATTCCCTAGTGACCCATGCCTTACTGTGTGCCCTCCACAGCACACACAAATTATCCTTGAGGACATTCTTTTGCCTGAACGCTCTGGGAGTTTCAGAGTGATACACTAATAAAGGCTTCACTTTGCAATCACCAGTAGCATTGGCACACATGAGAAGAGTAAGCCTGTCTTTCATAGGCTTATGTCCTGGGAGTGCCTTTTCCTCCTGAGTAATGTAGGTCCTGCTTGGCATTTTCTTCCAGAAACAGGCTGTTTCATCAC